AACAATGCAATGTTTTTTTTGAAATATCAGACCAGTGGTCTCTCCTAGTCATAGTCATTACTCTACTTGGTCTTACATTTGAAACTACTTAACTACCAAAATCTAGCTCTTTCCTGAAATATTTAATTCTACAATTACCTATATAGGATAAGACTTAAATGCCTATGATTCCTAATATATGCGTGACCCAAATAATTAGGACAAAAGAACAAAACACAAGCATGCTCAGAACTCACCTTGAAGTTCTCAGGATCCACATGCAGTCTGTCACAGTGCAGCTCACTCAGCTGAGAATAGGTGCTCTTGAGGTCATCCATATGCTTAACAGCATTTCCGAAGGAGGTCAGCACCTTCTTGCCATGGGCCCTGACCTTGGGGTTGCCCATTATTGCAGTTTCAGAGGATAAGTTGCCAAAAGTGTCAAAGAACCTCTGAGTCCAGGGGTAGACAACTAGAAGCCTATGGGATGAACACAGTCATAGATGAGATGCGAAGTCAGAATATTTAAGAGACCTGATCAATTTCTCTTTCAGAAGCACTTTCTGCCTCTTTTATCTTTCCAGTACTTACCTTCCCAGGACCTCACCTCCAGCCACCTCTACATTCACCTTGGCCCAAAGGCTAGCAACAGCAGCCTTCTCCTCAGCAGTAAAATGCACCATGGTGTCTTGGAGCTTTCTACTGATCACAGATGAGCCAGAAGAAAATCTGTATTGCTGCTTCTCTGTCTGGCCTTTTATTCCTCATCTTTGGCCCCCAGCCCCTTGATTCTTCCAATGAAATGAGACTATTGGTCAAGGGTGCATTGTCACCACCAGGGGTGGGGGCAAGGGAAGGTGGACATTTGTGTCACTGATAGTGTTAGGTCACTCTATCAGAGGAATTCTGCTGTTCTTTCTCCTGCTTCTACTATGCAACTCATATCTCAAGCTCCCCACCACCACTATCTCTGGTGACCTCTAGGCTGACCATGAGGCATGACTAAAATTAGGAAGGGTAAGAGTTAGAAATCTGTTGGACATTGTGTCAGGTGTTTGCAAGACATTCTGTTGTCCACCTAGGGAATGGAATAAGCCACAGTTCAACTAGGTTACCAATTTTTCTAAAGCTTAGATAAGGTTCATATTTTTATAGTTCTTGTAAACAGAATAGTCCTAATCCAGCATCAGTTTAAAAACAGGACAGGTCAGAACTGGATAATTTAGAGAGGAATTGAACATTTTCCTATTGTTGTTTGGTTCTATTAATAATGTATGCACTTGTCTGTGCAAATTTATTTCACTCTGATTCTATGGACAGGTGTATCTGGCCTATACCGTGTATCTACTCATTTGTGTCAGAACATACACAATCAAGTGTTGGGGGTTATGGAGGCTCCTGTGTTCAAAGAATAGAGCATTAGAGGACTCCATGGAAGTGGCTACGGATTAAGGGATTTGCCTCTAGCATATGCTGGGATCCACACTCCTTTGTGTGTTTAACTTTTTCTCATATCAATCAAGCAGAGGCAATCTTCAATGACCGTATGCCACACAATACTGCCGCCATGATTTAAGGTACTTTGTTCTCATGTATGTCAAACAAGCATTTTTGGGTCTTCCAGTGGGAGAGGCAAAGGCTTATTTTGTTGTTTTTCTCTCAGAGTTTATTGCTCACACATTTTGAGTTCTAGGCTTGTTTCTTTTTCTCCAATATTAATCTTACAAACAAACAAAGAAAACCTATACATGTGTTTTTACAGAGTTATTTTAAAATTTAAAGGGTTCAACCCAATATATTAGTGCTGAGGTTTTGTTTTTACAATAGAAATCCTTCCTGTCCACTTGATAGTAATAGACTTTCATCACTTCAGCTTGGAAAAGACTCAGTGTGAAATATGGAAAAGAATTACTAAGGGCCAAAAGCTAGTTTACCATGACAACCTTGACTATCTGTGATCCCTCAGTGCCAAGCTCTATTGATGTGAGTACTTTGGAACAGAGATATAAAGAAAAGAGTTTGAATCAATCCCAAGAAGATTTGCTTCAAGAGAAGAGGCAAATGAAAAGAAAGAAATGAAAACTTTTACCACTGCAAGGAATTTTACTTTTACTTAGTTGTGGGCTTGGGCCAAAGGCCTGGCTCAGGGTATTTGCTCTCTACTGGTGCTAATGCTCACCTCCAACAGTGTATGTGCACTGAAATCCCTCACGCTCGGGGGCACCTGCAACTCTGAATGCTGGTGAATAGCCTCCTCCTGTCTTTCCAGAAAACCAGACAGTGATTCTGGCAGTTACCTCTAACTCCTACTTTTCTTTCACCACTTTAGACAATCGCTTACACAGACTTTTTGATTCTTTCTTGCTCATGGCTGTTCCACACTTCCAATATATTCCCATCTCCCCGCTCCATCTGTCATCTAAATGTTTATCACATCAATGCTATATCATCATCACAAACACCTAATATTTTCCAATCACTCATCTTCTATTTAAAAAATCAAATATTTATTGAGGTTTAATCACGCCAGGTGTTGTTTTCAACACTGGAAATCTTGGGAGAACAAAACAGTTGGTCAAGTCCCAGGATACTCACATTCTAGTGGGCAGAGAAGACTGACACTAATAATTAAACAAGTAAATGAATAAAGAATTTCAGATGGTGTTTTATGACAGGCAAAAAAGGCATCTGATGGGATGGCAGCAAGTGACGACAGAAAAATAATATAAGGAAAGATGTCCTAAACTTATATCCAAAGTGAG